GATACACAGTAAGAACAGATTCAGACATAAAAGACCTCTAAATGGGTCACAATGTGTTTAAGAAATGTACGTAGGCTTGGGAGAGAGAAGAAAAAGAATATAGATAGCTATAAAAATAAGTAAATGCGGGCTGAAGGGATGGCTCAATGGTGAAGAGCCACTGGCTGCTCTTCCAGAGGTCGTGAGTTCAATTCCCAGCAACCACATGGTGGTGATCACAACCATCTGTAATGAGATCTAGCGCCCTCTTCTGGCATACATGGAGGCAGAATGTTGTATACATAAATAAATAAATAAATCTTAAAAAAAAAATAAGTAAATGGGCCGGGCGGTAGTGGCGCACTCCCAGCACTCCCAGCACTCAGGAGGCAGAGGCAGGTGGATCTCCGTGAGTTCGAGGCCTGCCTGGTCTACAAGAGCTAGTTCCAGGACAGGAACCAAAAGCTACGGAGAAACCCTATCTCGAAAAATCAAAAAAAAAAAAAAAAAGTAAATGGGGGTTGGAGAGATGGCCCAGCAGTTAAGTGCTCTGACTTCTCTTCTAGAGGACCCGGGTTCAATTCCCAGCATCCACATGGCAGCTCACAACTGTCTGTAACTCCAGGTCCAGGGGATATGATGTCAATGCATATAAAATAAAGTTAAATAAAAAAAATAAGTAAATTTTTTTAAATAAAACAAAGTCTTTAAAGAGACAGAGTATAGACAGTCATAGATTAAAAGGAGTAAAAAAATAATGAGCCACGAAAAGATGGAATGTACACAGAGAGTCTGGATTATGTAAATTATTGTGTTTTTTTTTTAATTTTTTGTCTGTGAATGAGCTAAGTACAGAGAGACATTTTATTGTATGGGCTGCTAAGCTAAACTAGAATATATACATTACTGCCAATATATATATTAAAGGCATCTTGATTTCAGGACTTGGGTCTAAGGATATGTTGCTTTGAAAAAGAGGTTCTGCTTTTGTTTCCACAGAGGATGAGAATCTGTGGATTGCTTCCAGACTAATGTGGTTTGATGGACCAAGACCTCCTGAAAGGTCGCTGTGAATACTGCCCAAAAATTACTTTGCCCAATAAACAGCAGGAAGCAGTTTGGAGAAAAACTATGCCCATATTCCCAAATACTATTTATAAATGTTTCTTTACATTTAAAGGGGGATATGTTATAGAGATTTGCATTGGTATGGATCTTGGTTTATTGATACAGATTTAAGGTCAATTTTGTTATACTTTGTATATGTATTTCTGCTCTTAATTAAGGTATTGTGTTTGTGCAGCTCATTTAAAAATGTAATGTATAATTAAGATATATATATATTAAGAAATATATAAAGAGGTTAATAGATGATTATAATAGTCAAGCTTCTAGTCATTTTAGTTAGGTTTTCTAGATACATAAAGATATATTTCAAGGCTGGAGAGATGGCTCAGTGGTTAAGAGCATTGCCTGCTCTTCCAGAGATCCCGAGTTCAATTCCCGGCAACCACATGGTGGCTCACAACCATCTGTAATGAGGTCTGGTGCCCTCTTCTGGCCTGCAGACATACACACAGACAGAATATTGTATACATAATAAATAAATAAATAAATAAATATTAAAAAAAGATATATTTCAGTTAGATAGGTATTCTTCAAATCTTTCAGAGACCTTCAGAATATGGCATTTAAAATGTTTTAAGAGGGGCTGGAGAGATGGCTCAGTGGTTAAGAGCATTGCCTGCTCTTCCAAAGGTCCTGAGTTCAATTCCCAGCAACCACATGGTGGCTCACAACCATCTGTAATGAGGTCTGGTGCCCTCTTCTGGCCTGCAGGCATACAAGCAAACAGAATAATGTATACCTAATAAATAAACAAATATTTAAAAAAAATGTTTTAAGAGCTTAAGACTTTTCATGATAGTGAGACATATCTGCTCCTGGCAGCACCAATTACTTCAAAAGGAAGATGGGCATCGAAGAGGCTCCTCATGGAGTTTGCTAGCCATTTGGGCATAAAACTGCTGTTGCCTGGAATGCTTGATGAATTGAACATGCAGGACCCACAGAGAAATGACTGCTAAACTTGCCTAAAGGTGAGACGATCTTTCAAGGTTCCTGCTTCATGAAAGACTCTGCTAGACACTCCGCAGGACACAGAAGAAAGTGACTGGCAAACTGCCAATAGAGGCACAACTGTCTTTGAAATTTCCTGCCTCATGAAAAAGTCTGCTGGATACTTATGAGCCCGTAGGCTAAAGATGGATATCCCAACATTACAGAAGAATTTTCGGTGACTGTCCGGGTAGCGAGATATCTCTATCAATTCTAGAGTTTTGGAAGTTGCTTACAATGCACTTCCTGTTTACTTAGGTAAAAATATCATATTCTTCTGGAGTCTTTGATGGAGTTGAAAAATAGTTATTATTATAGTTTTCCTTAGTTATGATAAAAGATAAAGTAGATATAAATATTGTAACTGTAATTCTTGCTTGATGACTGTTTTGTTATATATAATTTTACTATGTTAAAGTTAAAACCTTTTTATTTAAACAGAAAAGGGGAGGTAATGTGGAATTTCCCTCTGTATGGTGTGATTGCCATTAATGAGTAAAGAAACTGCTTTGGACCTATAGCAGGGCAGAACTTAGCTAGGCCGGAAAAACTAAACTGAATGCTTGGAGAAAGAAGGGTGGAATCAGAGAGAAGCCATGTAGCCCCACCGCAGACAGATGTTCAAACCTTGCCAGTAGGCCACGAACCTCGTGGTAAAATATAAAATACTGGAGATGGGTTAAACTAAGTTGTAAGAGTTAGCAAATAAGCTAGAGCCAATCCAACCAGTGATTTAATTTTGGGAGTCTGGGCAGCCGGGAAACCAACAAGCAGTCTCCTACAACATCTGCAAACAAATTTCATGGATTAGCTTCTACATAGAAATGTTGGTTAGAGATGAATGGCCATTCTTTGTGAAGCGATGGAGGACCCACATTAAAGAACAAATAATATTCAGGGGAGATGATTTAGCAGTTCTGAGCACCAGCCACTCTGGTTTGGGTTCCCAGCATCTACATGGCATCTCACTTCGCTACTGTCAATGCCAATTCTAGAGGCTCTGATGCCCTCTTCTGACCTCTGTGGGCACTGCATGCATGCTATGTAGAGGTCAAACACTCACATATGAATAAAAATATATATTTTTTTCAAAACAGGGTTTCTCTGTGCATCTTTGACTGTCCTGGAACTCACTCTGTAGACCAGGCTGGCCTCAAACTCACAGGGATCCGCCTGCCTCTGCCTCCCAAGTGCTGGGATTAAAGGCGTGCGCCACCACCACCCGGCTCTTTTTGGTTTTTCGAGACAGGGTTTCTCTGTAGCTTTGGTGCCTGTCCTGGAACTAGCTCTTGTAGACCAGGCTGGCCTCAAACTCCCAGAGATCCGCCTGCATCTGCCTCCCGAGTACTGGGATTAAAGGCATGCGCCACCACCGCCCGGCACCCTTCTAAGAATCTTAAGGAAGGAAAAGTATCTCCTCCACTACCTGATGCTGGACCTGGGATCATGCCATGCCCACGCGCTGTGCCTTTGAGTGCCCTGGCCTGCAGCACTGATCCTTGAATGAGGAGAGTGGATCTTCCTCTTTACGATCAGTCTGTAAACACACAATCCCACTAAAAAAGAATGGGAGCGCCCAGAAATAAAAGAAGTTACTTCAAAATGTAGGGATCTGGCCTGGCAGTGTTGGTGCACCCGTTCAGTCCCTGCACTTGGGAGACAGAGGCAGGAGAATCTCTGTGAGTTTGAGACCAGCCTAATCTACAAAGCAAGTCCAGGACAGCCAGAACTGTTACACAGAGAAACCCTGTCTTGAAAAACAAAATGAAAAAAAACAAAAAAAAATAGGGATCTAGAATTAGAATAATGCTTACTGTATATAGTCACTGCACTAAAAATGTAATGCTGTCTCATCTAATCCTTAAAATCCTGAGGTAAACTGGGTGGTGGGGGAGCACGCCTTTGATCGCAGCTCTTGGGAGACAGAGGCAGGCACATCTCTGTGAATTCAAGGCCAGCCTGGTCTACAGAGTGACAGCTAAGCTACAGAGAAATCCTGTCCCCAAAAAACCAACCAACCAACCAAACAAACAAACAAAGAACCTTGAGGTGTGAGCCTGGCTCAGCACTTAGGGGCATTTGCTGCTCTTGCATAGAGGAACAGATTTGATCCCTAACACCCACATTTGGGGCGTGGACGGGTCATAACCATCCTTAACTCCAGTTCCAGAGGATTTGACACCATTTCTGACCTCCATCAGCACTCACATGGTAACATACATACATGCAGGCAGGCGTGACTCCTACACACATAAATAAACAGGCCTTAAAACAAAAACATGGCTTGGCATGATTATTACCCGAATTTGTGCCCATGAGGAGACTGAGGCTCAAGAGGTGTCATAAGTCTGCACCCAAATGACACCCATGCTGTCATTCTTGCTCCGTCCGGCTCACCCCCCCCCCAGCTTTTTTTCTCCTTCTTGCACTTTTTGAGGGGCAGTGACTCTAGTTGTAGGTAAACTGCATGGCTAGAAAACACCTCGGGGATTATTTGCTTCAGGCTCCTTTTTAATTTATTTTTTATTTTATTTATTTTATTTTATTGAGACAAGTTCTCACCAAGTAGCCTTGGCTGGCCTGAACTCGATATGTACATAGGGCTAGCCTTGAACTCATACAGACCTACTTTTCATCTAAAGGCATGCACCACCACATCCTGCTTAAAGGTTCCTTCCTTGTTTTAACGAGACAGGAACTTGGGGTCAACGAAATTCCCATTGTATGAGGCGGGGACAAGGACGAATACTGAAGCTGGGGGTCAGCCTGGGGTTCCAGCTCTTTGGAGGCAGAATTCGGCCCAAGGCCCAGGTGCGCTGATCTCCCAGGCAGAAGGGTTCTCCTTCCACATTCTCTCAGCGCCCACTACACCCGCCCGCTTTGCGCTCGTGCAGGAGGAGTACCTGTGTGCGGCGGGCGCCAGGCTCTCCGCTGAGGGCGACACGATTTTAGAGGTTGGCTCAAGACTGAACGGCACCTTGCAGGCCAGAGCGAAACACTGCTCTCGGGACGCTGAGGTCACGGGAGAGTGCGGACGCCGGGACACCCAGGAGAACTTGGCAGCGCTGGTCCCGGGAGGCAGTTTCCCCACTTTGTCCTCGTAATGGTCTGCAGACCCGGTAACCTAGCTCCTAGCTTCTAAGGGAGCAATATTCTAACCCCTCACAGCACAGCTAACTGTCTGGCTTACCCGGGGGATCGAGGTTCCCATGGAAACGAGAAGACGGTCTTTGCGCCTGCGCAGTTGCGCTAGACACACTGGGAAATGTAGTTTTCAGGTGGTCTCTGCGAGGCCTGAGAACTGGCCGCAAGATGGCGCCCGAGCGTCGCGTTTGGTTCTCGCGAGCCAGAATCTGCTTTCGCTGTTGCTGTGGCCTGAGGCGAAGCCACCGAAGCCTGAAAGGTCAAACTCTGGTTCGGCGCCGGTTGTGTGGCGTCCTCGGTGCTGAGTAGAGGCGGAAGCGCGAGCTCTGCGGAGGGTTTAATTTTACTGTGTTTTTAAACGGCCTAAAAAGGCCCTGGGCCAGGAGAAGGCTTTGAAGACGGAAACTAGCCCAAGGTGGGGCTACCTTGAGAGATGGGAGCTCCTCCTTACCCCAAGTGTTCAAGTAGGGGCTGCGGTGTCAGGTGGGAATTGAATGGGAACTCGGGCCCGGACACAGGATTTTAATGTCCCTGCCTGTTGGAGTTGGGCTTTTCCAGGCGGTTCTCCACCGCTTGAGCACTATTGTGAAACCGGAGGATTGACCTCTGAGAAACTCCCAGTGCCGGGAGTGAGGCTCCTGGATTGAAATCTAGAAACCCAGGATCTGACTGAGACTCTCCTAGATTCAGTAGTTTCTTCTAAGGCTTGGTTCCTAAACAGCAGTGGTTGTAAGGCCTGCCTGCCCTTTGCCCGCCCGTGTGACGGTACGGGAAGGTGACTTGGGCGTGTAGGCTGGATGGCCCTTTAAGGAGGTAGACATTCCCATTGCTGTAAATAGGTGCAACTTCCTGGAAGGAAATTAGGCAGTGTCTCATGAAATAAAAAAAGCAGTCTTTGCTTTAGCAATCTTAGAAATATGTCCCACAGATTTAGTACCAAACAAAATATTTTTGTAAACAAAAATAAGGACAAGAGTACTTAGTGAAATGTTACTTGGAATAGGATTTTAAAAAATGTTAAGTATACTGTTTATCAGTGAATGGCCTCTTATATAGCCCGGCAAGTGGCACAAACCTTAAATCCCGACCCTGTAGCCTTGGCTGTCCTGGAACTCGCTCTGTAGACCAGGCTGGCCTCAAACTCACAGAGATCCACCTGTCTCTGCCTTTTGAGTGCTGGGATTAAAGGTGTGCGCCACCACCACCCGGCTTAGAATTTTAATATGCTGTTGTCTAGGGCCAGTGGGAGGACTCAGTAGATCAAGACACCTGCCACCAAGACTGAATACCTGAGTTCAGTCCCTGGAACCTCCATGCTGGGAGAACTGGTTCCCTCTGGTTGTTCTCTTGTCCTCCATCCACAAGCTGTGGCATATGTGCACACACAAAATATAAAAATGTAATTAAAAGTTTTAAATGCTAGCACATTTCCAAAGAACACACATACTACTGGATTTGATTACATCACGGTCCTTGGAGGCCTCAGAAGCTATGAACAGCCATTGCCCGTGATCTGTGATCTAGAAGGAAGTGAGGCGCTAGAGTAAACAGAGACTGAATTCTTCTTTTCTGTTAAGCTCTTTAGCAATTGTTTGTATACACATCGTAATTATCCATCTGCATTTCTGTTTTTGTTTTTTTGTTTTTCGAGACAGGGTTTCTCTGTGGCTTTGGAGCCTGTCCTGGAACTAGCTCTGTAGACCAGGCTGGTCTTGAACTCACAGAGATCCGCATGCCTCTGCCTCCCCAGTGCTGGGATTAAAGGCGTGCGCCACCATCGCCCGGCTCCATCTGTATTTCTGATGCAAACAGTTTCCTTAATCCTTCTTTCTAGGGTCCTTGTGAACAGGGGGCTGGAAGGAGCGGGAGTTCATGACTGTGTCCCCTGCTTTTTGAGCTGAGCAAGAAGCAGGAAGTGGGGCTGCCCTCCCAACCCTCATCTCTCCAGCCCTCAGCCCTAGCCTCAGCAGTCTGGTGTGACTCCTGCTTAGCTGTCGGAGGGAGCTCAGTATCTTGGGTCAGTAATGAACTGGCTTCACTGCACCCCTCCTTCTGCCCCTATGCCTGCCACCAGATGGGTTTAAATGACTCTTATTCCAGAGAGCACTCGGAAGCTGAGCTCTAGCTGTGCCTAAACAGAACCAAGAGTAGTGGGGGTGATGGTGGGGCAGTGCTTATGGCTTCCCAGGTTTTGCTTCGTTTTACAAAAACAAACCAACTCTGGGTACGACTTGGAAGTGATATAGCCAAGGCTGAGACTCAAGTCCACCCGCCCCCCCCACACCAGACTTCTCCACTTTAAGGTTAGGACAGGACTGGACTACCCCAAGACTTTGGGAAAGACACTTTCATGAAACTGGACACGCATGTCTGGAGTCAGTCCTGGCACTGAACACGCTTACCCGGAACTAGTGGAGCATGTCATTGTGCCCTGACACACAGAGCATCATCTTGGGACTAGGATGAAAACGACATCTCTTTTTGTTTTTGTTTTTCTGAGACAGGATTTCTCTGTGTAACCCTACCTGTCCTGGAACTCACTCTGTAGACCAGGCTAACCTCGAATTCACAAGAGACCTGCCTGCTTCTGCCCCCATGTGCTGATATTCAAGGCTTTGGAGGTGATTCCTAGGACCCAAACATTCTCAAGAACTAGCATCAAATGTCCTAAGGAAGTCCAGCCTTAAGGACAGGCTTTTTGTCCAGGTAGGCAACACAGTTCCTGCTTCCTCACAGTTAACTCCCTGTGCCAGCGGAACCACAAGTCTGATGCCCGCTATATGCCTGCTCCTGTTGACGGGCAGGATGGCTAACATTTACCCAGGCTGTTCCCTAGAGATGAGGAGATAGCACTGGCTACCCCTTCCCCTCCCCCAACACATCACTCAGCCAAAACAGGTCTGTCACAGGACACCTGAGAGACGTGAGAAAGCTGGAGCAGGTAGGAGAGGGAGTGTGGTGTGTCAACAGAGAAGGATCTGATTGAAAGACAGATGGCTTTGTCACCAAATGGAAAAATACTTAGTATGAAAATGCTTTTATTTCTCAGGACAAAGCCAGATACTATTTGACTATGAAAACTTGGCTGGCCAGAGATATTCAAGAATAAGAAGACTCCCTTTAGCCCAGTGCCCTTGAGGGCCACAGAAGGACTTAGGGCAGCAGTAGAGACTCTGGTCAGCTGTGGGGGAAGGGGGTTGTGAGCCCTCAGCCTGTGAGGCTGGGGACTGAAAGTGCTGTCTGCCCCTGTGGCCACTGGTCCCCTGGCCTAGCTGCCTGCAGGACTGCGGTAGGAGAGGGTGGAAGGAGCAGGATGGAACAGCCAGAAGTCGAGGGCAAGGGGGACACGAACCAGAAACTTGCCCTAGAAATTTCTGGCTTTAATTCCATGGCTGCATAAAGTGTTAAGAGTTGGTAGGAAATGAAACCAGGGTATGACTACCCTTAAAGGCACCTGGAATGGGTCTACCCATATACCTTATGTAGAAAAGTCGTGAGCCCTTGACAGGTAGACCCAGGTCTGAGACCTAAGGCTGCAGGAAGTGACAAAGGTCTAGGGACTGCTGGGGAGGAGCTGTATGGAGTGTGCAGGCCCACGGGTGCAAAGGGTGCTCATCTGAGGAGTCTGCTTAGTGTCCAGGGGACATAGTGTAGAGGCCTAGGCCCCACCCTCCTCCCTGCTGTCGTCTACACTGGCCTGCCTCACCACTCTCCGGAGCCTCGGTGGAGAAGACATCCCAGCCTCCCCCTTCCCTCGCCCCTGCTCTTGGAAGGCCCGGGTCCTGCTGGCCACCAGGGCAGCACTGTGAAGGGCAACCACAGACTGGCGAGACTTGAGGGCAGGCCAAGGCCCCCTGCGAATTCGCTGACCACCTTTGGCTGTTGAAAGCTGAGAGAAGCGGTGAAGAGGCTCTTCATCTGAAGGCTCATGGGAAGAGAAAACCTGGGTGGGAGAGGAAAAGCCACAGGGCACTCAGAGCCACACTTCCCAAGGGAAAAGCAGCACCCAGCCTGTTCCTTGGCTCACCACATGACTTCAGCCACCTTCCCCTCTCACCCCTCTCTGCCTTTGCACATTCAAGCCAGTGAGCCACAGCTGTAGCCCTGCCAGGCACCAGGCCTGGAAGGAGCTCTGTGGACACCAGTGGCTGGGTGTCCCAAGGACACTTGCCTCACACGACACCATCATCCCACGCCTCCCTGTCGGTCCACACCCTGCACCTAAACGTTCTGCCTGCAGATTCCTTCTTTTGGGTTAGCCATGTGACCTCATGTCACATGTGAGGCCTGGCTTCCTCAGGCGAGGGCTAGCTTCCTGTCTTTGCTTGTGCCCAACAATGCTCAGCACACAACATGCTTGTGACTTAATCAGTAGGTGGACTGTGGGAGTGCAAAGGCCTTCTCTGCTCCTTGGCACACAGGACGAACTTCAGGAATGCTCTCCCCTCTGCTCTCTAGTGCAGGGAGCTTTTTCAGCCATCAGCTGGCAGTGGAGCTCATGGCCTGGGGACAATGCTCACTCCAAACCTAGGAGCCAAGGCCCTTAGGAAACGAGTCAGTTTGTCAGGCTGGGACTGGACTCTTCCATGTTCCAAGTCAGACCTGCAACTGCTTAGCCCCTGGGGCCACTGCTCTTGCCTGGCTTGGCATAAAAGGAGGAGCCCAAAGGTGGTCCCCATCCTTAGGTACTCAGGGTGTCTTGAGTTGCCTGGCACATAAAAGTGTAAGGTGGTCAGTGTGGAAGAGGCAAGACAACACCCTACTGTGAGGGGCCTATGGGGCCCTAAGTCAAGCTCCAGCACTTGCTCCCATATTCTGCCAGACAGAGCTCTTGAGCCCAGCCTCACCTCGGGCAGGTCTCCAGCCTCTGGAGTGCTCTCTGGCTCTGAAGACGGCTCCAGGAGACTGATGGAACGCATGACTCCTCGGAGATTGATGCGGGGCCTCAGCCCAAGCTCTTCTTTGGGGGTTTCCTTGCTTTCCTCCAAACCCATAACCATCACCTCCCCACTGCCCCCTGGTTCTGGTGGAAGAGGCGGCAAT